GGGCGACGAAATGGGTTTTGGAATTTATTTACATTCTCCAAAAAAGGTACTGTCAATAATCCTAGTGGTACTGAAACCATTAAAAGAACACCCAATAACTTATTGGGTACTGTGCGAAGTATTTGAAATACGGGAAAGAAGTACCATTCGGGTAATATTTCCAACGGAGTTGCAAACGGATCCGCCGGTTCACCGATCATTGACGGCTCTAGAACTGCTAAGCCCACATTACATGCAATAGTGCCTAGAATTACTACTGGAAAAATATATAAAAGATCATTGGGCCATGCAGGTTCTCCATAATAATTATGTCCCATCCCTTTAGCTAATTTAGCTCTTAATACAGGATCATTCAAATCAGGTTTCTTTTAGGGTTATAGTTGATGGTTGTTTCTGAATTCCATCTCTACTGCAGAGCCGGACATGAGAATTTATTCTCATCCAGCTCCTCGCGAATTAAATGATTCAATAAAATTAATATTATATAGAAATATGTATTTTATTCTATCAAAAGACAAAAGAAAGAATATACTAAATACTAATTTTTTTATATTTAATTTGTTACATAGGTAGGCTGTATATATAACTTATATAACTAGATAACTAGGCGTGTTTTTTTCTATTTTTATATTATATTTTTCTATTTTTATATTATATTTTTATATTATATATATAAAGAAAAATAATGCTTCTTTCTTTTAGCAAAATCTCTAAAGTATTTTTCTTTACCTCTATTGAATCACGCCAATAGTCATCCAATAAATGAAATTCTTAAATGAAATAAAAATAAAGAAAGGTTTCGCGGGCAGATATTAACTCTTTCCTCCTTCATTTGTAGGGTCAATTCATGACCATTCAGAAGAAATCCATTTTTTTCTTGGTTCATTCCGCCATCCTACCCAATGAATCCTTATTACCATTTGCAAGGATTTACGCCATAATATATGATATATACAGATCATCCAGCAATTCCAATCATCACCATAAATATTTTTCAAAGCAAGTTAAACATTTAAATTCAGGTCTTAGGATCTATTTCAATAGAGAAGTTCCACACAAATCAGGTTGTCAAATTAAGAAAATATAAATAGGGAGTCAAAATAGCCCAACATTCCATTCAAACTGTTCCACAAGCAAAAAACAAACGAACACACAAATGCTCAAAATTCACTAATAATGCAATTCAAAAATGGCATACATGTAAAAAAACAAATGATTAAAAAAAAAACAACGCAAATTGTGTACAAATGATCATTCTTACAAAAGACCAAAAAAGAAAATCATCAATAAGCATATTATTGGACTGATTTTTGTATAAAAAAAAAAAATGTATGAAGGATAAAAAAGTACCTGTTTTGAGATTCAGAAGTATCGACATCATCCACTGCAAAAGGGCAAGAAAAGTCAAGGTCCTCAAGATCATCCTGCAGTGATTTTCTGCTTGAACTCCTTGAGAAGACAAACCTCGGCGAGCCTGAAGAAGAAATAACACTAGAGAATCGTCCAGAATCATCTTTAGTGTCTTTAAGCACCTAAAATTGGCAAGAAAAGAGAAGGCAACAATTACTCATTTGACAATATAGTATTATACCTCTTCAGAATATCACATAAGAATTGAGAATGAAACCAAAAATAACTTTAGTAATATATTAAAGAAACAAAATAGAAAATAGTGAAGGAACAATAGTATGAAACCTAATTGAATTCCATGGGGAAGAGTTGGCGCAAATTCATGCAAATTCATGGGTGTTCATCGAAAATTACTTTTAAAAGTTTAGTAAATACTGCTTAGGCCAAACAAAAATCTCGTCATTGAAATCAACAATGGAATCTCTTGAACCATACCAAATGAATTGGCATGATGTAATCAAGAATATACATTTGGAAGAGTCGAAAATCAACAGTACTCTAATTTGTGAAATGTTTGTCATCATCATTAATAGCTTTATCCCACATATTCAGGGTCAGCTTTATGAATCCTCAATTTTAACTCATTCATTTTGACTCTAATCTGAAGTGTTACATCAATTATTCACAAATCAGTTTGACATCTATCCATGTTCTCTTAAATCCACCCATTCATCTCCCTAAGGGTCAGCTTTATGAATTCTCAATTTTAACTCCTTCATTTTGACTCTAATCTGAAGTGTTACATCAATTGTTCATCAGTTTGACATTTATCCATGTTCTCTTAACAGTTATTTTATCAGCTTGTCTAATGAATTAATTTCTACCATTCATTGTATATGTGCAAATATTCTAAGCCTAGTATAACTAAATTAATAGGAACATTAAGCAATAAATGATTGCTGATATTTAGGTTGAGCGTGGCATAGATTAAGGGCCCGTTTGGGGCAGCTTATAAAAACGCTGTCTCACTGTTTGTTTCTCGTGTTTGAGGCGAGTTTCTACAAACGGTGTTTCCTAATTTCTATTACACGTGAACCGCGGGTATATCCCCGCGATCCGCGTTCGGCCTCTAACTTTTTACTCTCTTGCCCTCGCGAAACAATCCCATAGCCCTACCTTTCCTTTGTCGAAGACGTCAATCTTGCCTCCGTCTATACCCGAATTCGCTCTGCAGGTAAGGAATCTCTTCGCCATTATTGGCATTTGCATGTGCCATATATTTGTCTATTTAACTTTTTTGATTTTTTAGCTTTATGTACTCCAAACAATCCTAAGGTAGAGAAGAAGTTGGAGTATACCCAATTATTGTCTTGTCTTTGTCTTGTCTGAGCCTCTGTCTGAGCCTCATTGTACTATAATAATGGTGATGTATTAAGGATTGTTTGTATATCTTCTGAATACTATTAATTTCATACTAGCTCGTTTATGTCAAAGTCAAAATGAGTAAAACTAGAGTTTGGATCATCTACCCTGTGGGATAAAGAGACCACCCTAATATATTGTGATCTCTGTCTGAGAGAGGTCGAGGTGGGTAATAGGCTGACCACCTATTTTAATAAAGAAGATTGACAGAATTTTATGACTAAATTCAAGGAGCTGACCAAAAGAGATTATGATCGGATAAAACTCAAAAACAAGTGGGATCAATTAAAAAAAGACTGAAAATTTTGGAATGAGCTCAAAAGGGGATCAACGGGATTGGGTTGGGATTCACTGAAGTGGACAATTGATGCACCTGAGAAATGATGGGTTGAGAAGTTAGAGGTAAATTTACTTTTTCCATAGATTTACACATTGAAAAGATTTTTACTGACTTCTCCTTTCTATTACAGGCAGTGCCAACAGCCAAAAAATTCTAATTTGACGGCATTTATCCAGTATTGAAGGAAAAGTTGGCTGGTAAGTTCATTGGCGTTGTCGCTACCGGAGCTCATGCTGTCACCCCAACTAAGCAGAGATTTGTCTGTTTAACAGAGGACATGAAAATCGAGCATATAGGTGAGTTAGGAGAAGGTCCCAGCCAAAATCCACACGGATGTTCAACCCACTGGGCAGCTCATAGTACCAGAAGAAATGTTCTTAGCTGTGCGAAAGATTTGTATTTCTAACCATTTCCCTCTACAACTTGTTATGTGTTGCTGGAGTAGTATTATAGGCCAGAGCAGTGAAGTAGTGTTAAGGACAGTACTGAACAGCAATGTGTCATTCCTTGTGCATGTCACATTGTTTTAAATTTGAATGTTGGCTCATTTGGGTGTAGTATTAGAAATTTCCGGCTTCATAAATCTTTTCAAGTGAATATCTTCAGTAACAGTGAATATCTTTTCTGTGTACTGCTTCAGAAAAATCTTTTTTGCTTTTCAGTTGTGTTGTGTTTTTTTTTTTCTGTTTATCTTGATTCATTGATAGGGGCGCTGTTAATTTTTATTTTTAGAACTAAATGAGTTTAATGTTGAGAATGAGTTTAATGATAGGGACTCTTTTCTGTTTACCTGCAGTTTTGTTTTTTTGCTCTGATAATATGGATGGCTTCTTATTCATCTATAATAGGGTGGCTTCTCACTCATCTATAATATAGTGGCATCTTACTCATAAAAATATAATATGTTCAGTCTTCTTACTCAATTAATCTAATCAATTAAAATTTTATTTATGTGAACATTTGTGGGATGTTAAAAATAAAGTTTTTACATTGAATAGGAAGAATTTTTTAGATCACAATGAGCCAAAGTTTTTTTTTTTTGTTCATTATAGAAAAAATGAACTCAAAGTTTTCAGGGAACTCCGAGATAGTGGTTTGCCGTTGCGGACTAACTACTGTGTAGCTTACATCGCACCGCCACATAACTATGGTCGGCGATTCTACAGGTGCCCGTGATAGGCAAACAGTCCGGACAGGTGTTAGTTCTTCAGGTGGGCAGATATTCCAACTTATTTCACTGCCCATAGCAATCGGGGCTCGACAATATCTCAACAGGATAGCGTTGCTCGGGGTCCGACGACATCCCAACCAGAAATTGTTGCTCCAGACATGTCACTTCTACATTTTAAATTGAATGTTATTATAAATTTAATTGTAATTTTGTTATCTTTTTTGTTTTTTAACAGGTTTTTGGATAGTCTTCCTTACGTCAGGAGTATATCTTTATTTTTTTTTAATTGTTATGTAGTGTTTTTTGGAATTTAGTATATTGATTGTGTTCCTAGTATACTGAATGTGTTCCCAGTGTTTTTTAATGGCCCAAATGCTTGTCTGCAAATGATCAAGTTACATGATATGCTTAACCTCGTGATTGTTCCTTATAACTTTGAAACTAATTGTTTATATTTGAAAATAAATTTTTGTTACAAAGAAAAGGTAAAGGACTTAAGTAAATGCAATACTAGATATCATATTATTTTAAACATATCATGCAAATACTTGTCATGAGATTCAAGAGTTGTTGGCTCCAATTTAAGCAATTAATAGGAGCAGACTGTAAAATGTGAACAAATCTAACCATATAGGATAATTGCCCTTGAGAAATAAAGAGCATTAGCATGTTTATATAAACGCAATAAAAATTTCAGTTCAATTTATCCCCATGATACTACCCTTGCAAACAGCTCAATTGTCCGTGGTCGAAATGGTTTTCTTTTTCACATACAGCTGCAAATCGGCTGTTCTCAAACCGCACTAACCAAACAACTTATTCAGTTTAGGGGCAGACTGGTCATTTATACACAAACAGCTGCAAATCAATTGTTTTCCAAATGCACAAATCAAACAGTCGGATAGTTTATCTAGATTAGCTACTGATCAGCTGCTTATTAGGATAAGCAGCTTATTTGGATAAGTTGAATAAGCTGCAGCTGCCCCAAACAGACCCTAAAAGTTGCATCACTATCCAACATTTTTGTTTATGTTATGGTCAACATATGTATTAATGCATTTTTTGACTGGCAAATGCTCAGATCCATTCAATACCATGGAACTATTTGTGGTTTTATAAAATTTAACTCAAAGGGTCTATTTGGGAGTAGTGCAACTAATTTTAAAACTGGTTGTGGCAACATTGTGAGGAAAACACATTTACTACGGCAATTGTGGATATTATAATTTTTTTATGTTTTATAAAAGTTTAATAACAACTTTTTACAACTACAATACTCTAATAGATCTCATTATAAGAAGTTTCTTCTCACAAAAAAAGTTTTTTAAAAATAGCAAGAAAATTTTTGCCAAACAAAAATGAATTCTATAAAACAAACCCGTGAGAGAGATGATGCCCAAACGAACCCTAAGTTTACATGACATACTCTAATCACATATTACTCTTAAGGTGCTTCTCTATTTTAACCATTTGGGCATTAACTTATATCATCTACATCTATATTCTTCCATCTAAAAAGTTACAAAATAGTTGAACATATCACACTTAAGTATTACTCTTTATTCATTGGGTTCATTGAGTCATTTACATATAATTTCAAATATAATATCATTGGTTTTACATTTGAAATCATTACGCTACAATAGAAATAAAAATTTTCATAGATTTATGACATTGTCATTGAACTGCAAATTTTTTTAGCTATTTAAAATAGATTAATTTTTTTATTTGTATGGCCAAATATTAATATTTTATCTCCATTCGTCATCACAATGTATTAAATATTGTAACAGCTTAAATAATAATAAATTTTACTCGAAAAGAAAAAAAAAGAAAAAAGTTTGAGCAAAATATTTGTACTTAAAAGTTTTTCATATACAAAAGATTCAAAGTGTTTAGCCGAGAATTTTTCCTTCAATTTTCTTTTGTTGGTATCTCACTAAATCTAGTCGTCACAGGACAATTTGAAATAATTTACTCTATATGGTATCAATTTTTTATCATGGAGAAGAAATTGTGCATTTTCATTGTAAATGATTGTTTTTGTTCATTACTAAATTATTAGAACATTTTCGAAGCGAGGATTTGGGAAGCGTTCGCCTATTAAAGAGAGTGTGGTATATTAAGTAGCATTTACTTATTAAGAAGAGTGTTATGGTGATGATTTTTCCATCAGCTCAAAGAGCGGAGTTTTGTTATTGGAGTGGAATCATAAGTTAGTGGAGCATAGGATTGAATGTAGGATAATA